GTGTGCAAGTATCTTTTTCGTATAATGACTTCTTTTCCTTTGGGTAGATACTCTGAAGTGGGTTTGCTGGATCAAATGGTAGATCTACTTTTAGTTCTTTAAGAAATTGCCACACTCTTTTCCATAATCATTATACTAGTTTCCATTCCCAACAACAGTGTAAAAGCATTTTCTTTTCACCACGTCCATGCCAACATATATTAGTTTTTTATTATGGCCATTCTTGCAGAGTGAGGTGGTATTACCTTGTGGTTTTGACTTGCATTTCCCTGATAATTAGTGATACTGAGCATTTTTTTCATACATTTCTGTTCCATTGGTCTATATGCCTATTTTAATACCAGTACCATGCTCTTTTGGTGACTGTGGACTTATAGTATAGTTTGAAGTCAAGTAATATAATACCTCCAGATTTCTTCCTTCTGCTGAGTCTTGCTTTGGCTATGTAGGCTCTTTTTTGGTCCCATGTGAATTTTCAGATTGTTTTTTCAGGTTCTGTGAAGAATAATGGTGGCACTTTTTATGGGAATTGCATTGAATTTGTAGATTTGCTTTTACAGTATGGTCATTGGTCATTTTCACAATATTGATTCTACCCATCCATGAGCATAGTATGTGTTTCCATTTGTTTGTGCCATCTGTGATTTTTTTTCAGCAGTGTTTTGTAATTTTCCTTGTAGAGGTCTTTTGCCTCTTTGTTAAGTATATTCCTATGGGTTTTTTTGCTTTGTTTTGTTTTGTTTTGTTTTTGTAGCTATTGTAAAAAGGGGTTGACTTCTTGATTTGATTCTCAGCTTGGTCGCTGTTGGTGTATAGCAGAGCTACTGATTTGCGTACATTAATTTTGTATCCTGAAACGTTGCTGAATTTACCAGTTCTAGGAGCTTTGGGATGAGTTAGAGTTTTCTAGGGACACATGTCTTCAGCAAACAGTGACAGTTTGACTTCCTCTTTATCAATTTGGATGGCCTTTATTTTCTCTTGTCTGATTGCTCTGACTAGGACTTCCAGTACTGTGTTGAATAGAAGTAGTGAAAGTGAGCATCCTTGTCTCGTTCCAGTGTTCAGGGGGAATGCTTTCAACTTTTCCCCATTCAGTATAATGTTAACTGTGGGTTTGTCATAGATGGCTTTTATTACCTTAAGATATGTCCCTTCTATGCCAATTTTGCTGAGGGATTTAATCATAAAGGGATGCTGGATTTTTTAAGGTCATGCGTTAAGGAGCTAGAGAAACAAAAACAAACCAAACACAAACCCAGCAGAAGAAAAGTAATAACCAAGATCAGAGCACAACTACATGCAGTTGAAACCAAAAAAACATACAAAAGATAAATGAAACAAAAAACTGGTTCTTTTAAAGATAAGTAAAATTGATAGACCATTAATGAGATTAACCAAAAAAAGAGAGAATATCCAAATAAGCTCAATTAGAAACGAAACAGGAGATATTATAACCAATACCACAGAAGTACAAAAGATCATTCAAGACTACTATGAACACCTTTACATGCATAAACTGTAAAATATATAGGAGATGGATAAATTCCTGGAAGTTTACAACCCTCCTAGATTAAACCAGAAAGAAATAAAAACTCTGAACAGACCAATAACAAACAGCAAGATTGAGGTAGTGATTTAAAAGTTACCAAGAAAAAAAAAGTCAAGGACCAGACAGATTCACAGTTGAATTTTATCAGACATTCAAATAATTGGTACCAACCCTACTGACACTATTCCACAAGATGGAGAAAGAGGGAATTCTTCCTAAATCATTCTGTGAGGCCAATATCACCCTAACCAGGAAGGGACATAACAAAAAAAAAAAAAAGGAAAGAAAACTACAACAGGCCAATATCCCTGATGAACATAGATGCAAAAATCCTCAATAAAATAATAGCTACAACAGAACAACAGCATATCAAAAAGATAATCCACCATGATCAAGTGGGTTTCATATCAGGGATGCAAGAATGGTTTAATGTCTGCAAATCAATAAATGTGATACACCATATAAACAGAATTAAAAACAAAAAATAGCATGATCATCTCAGACACAGAAAAAGATTCTTTTTAATGTGCAATTTACTGTGGTACTCTCAGAGGTCTAAATTTGGCATTCTCTTCTTATGCATTTTTCAGATGTTTTTGTTAATTTTATTGTTTTATATTAAAGCCTTAGATTTCAGTGATTTGTGTCATGAGTTTAGATTCTTTTGCGCTTTTGTATGGGAAGAAACAGCTGGAAATCAAACAGCCGTGTGCATAGATGACTTGAAGTTTTCATCCTCATCTGTAGAACAGAAACAGTGATTCCCACCTCAGGAGTCATTTTTAAGGTTAACATATGTGACATAATCTTAAGTGTCTTTTTCAGTGCCTTATTCCACAAGTATTAATTCATTTTCTTCTACTACCAACAACCTAATAAAAATAATTTTTTGAATTGCCTGGGTTTTGTTTATTCATTTGTTTGTGATGCTAGATGTTACTATAGTAGGTTGTGGGTACTTCTAAGGTTCCAGTCTATTTCCTAGTTTTTGAAAAAGTTGTAAGATATTAATGGGTATTTAATGAGCACTTATACTGTTCCTGTCACCATCAAGTGTCATAAGAAACAAACGAACCAAGACTTAACTCTCATGAAGCCAAAGTGAGTTTATAGTCTGCTTAGGGAGAGAAGATCTACTCATATGAAATTACTAGTAACCATCATTATAACTATTATTATTATAAAAATAAAGGATCAATGTGTTTTAGTGGACAGGAAATACAAATAAAAATAAAAAATTTAGAGCAGTTCCAAATGAAGACATAGGCTGAAATCTTGTGAAAGACATCATGGTCGACTCTTCCCCCAAAATGATGTCCTGGCTCTAGAACTTTGGTATGGAAAATGGGAGAGTGTCCCAGGTAAGATCATGAGCCCGTGGGGTGGAGCAGCACGAGGTAGGGGATGACTGCAACCTCACTCACTGGGCAGTATATGTATTAGAAAGTAGTTCAAGTAAAACTGAAGAGACCAGGTGACCCAAGAATCAAGAGAACATTGTACTCTAGATTAAAGATCTGACATATAATGTTACAGATTTTAAGCAGGGAGGAGAAAATCACAGCAAGGGTCTAGTCTAGCAGTGGGCATGCCATGACCAGGAACTGGGAAGACTACCCAGGAGGCTTATGTAACAGTCCAGGTGTTTATGGATGACAATTAATAATACTAGAGTGATCACAGTTAACAAAAAATGTGTGCAGAAGAGTATATAATTTTTCTAATCCAGATTATGTTTTTAAGGACCATGAATCCCTCTTGTGTAATATAAAAAAGTACTTTTTATACAAAAAGATGGCAAAAGTCTCTTTTTTTATTTCTCAGCAGGGTTCCAAAAAACAATTTTATTTTCATTTTTTGTCTTTAATGAAAGATGAGCAGTAGATGGCATTGTTCTGTAGAAAAGATTCCCATTTTTCACTTTTAAATCGTGAGGCATGGAAGATAGAATAATTAAATATCTTTTGGGATACTTCTACTCCAAAGACAAACATTTTGACTTCACATTATTTAGTTTGAGATATAACTTTTATTTTCACTTTGAAATGATTGAAATATGAAAGTTGATATAGATGGCATTATGTGGAAAATAATATATTCAGTAGTTAAAGTATTTTATGACTTATATCAAGGATTTTATGGTTACTAAGGGAAATAAGCATGCCTGTTATTTGGCTGTGACTGTGTGCACGTCTCAGTGAATTTATACTAATGACAGCAAAAGAACTGTCAGCAGCTCATTTGTGCAGTGGGAGGGTTCATAAACACTTAGATCCTCGAAAAAACCACAAGGTGTATTTGATTATATTTTGTAATATGTCCCTATTAATTACATTCCAAAGAGTATCCTATGTATTTATAGCCAGAACATAATATCAGACTTTTACAAAAATAAAAAATCGCTTTTTATTTGATCCCTTTACTTGCTATTCCCATGGAATTTTTCTTCAGAAGAACAATTAAGGACTTTAAAGGAAATAATCTTCCTTAGAGAATATTTTTATTTTTATTCTTAATATCTTGAATTTGTCTAGTTCTACACAAGTTCATGGTTTAATTTTTGTCTTATTACCTGTTGAGGCATAAGCTGTCATAGCATATAAGAAAGCACTAGTTTTTTTTTAAGTGTGAAGTCATTGCATGTATGATAGAGATAAGACACTGAACCTTTTTGAATTCGTCTACTCTTGTCATCATTTTTTAATTTAAAATTTATTTTGGGATACACCTTTATTTTTATTTGTCTTAAAATTTTTTAAAATGTTACTGCTTAATAGAAGTACTATAAGCACTAGGAGGAATAGAAATTTGCAGATTATTTACCTGTTAATTACCGTAAGGTCTTACAATTCTAGAGCATAGTAAGCATTCAATATTAATAAATGCATTGCTTTCTTCCTGTAAGCATTTGTTCAGAAATTATGTATGAAGACTGTGTGCCAGAAAGTACGCAGGGTATGCAAGATAACTAAGAACATTTGCCCCAAACTGCCTCTTCCAGGCAGTGTCACACATGACTAAGAAACTGAGGTAGCAGAAACTCAAATCACTACATGAAGACTGAGAAAAAGGGGGTTTGTTCTACTTTGAGTGACATTAGACCTGGGACTGAAGAGTGAGTGGAAGTTTGTAATAGGGTGGGAGGAAATATCAGTGAAAGATGTCAGGGTGAAAAGCAGGTGCACCTGAGGACCCAGTGTCCAGGAAGTATGAAAAGAAGGGGAAAGCTTTGGAAGAAGGAAAGGCTAGGGCACAGCTAAGAACTACCATCTGGCATTTCATAGTGTGAAAATGTCTTTAATATAATAACATAAAAATAAAACTTCTGTGTTTCATGCTACTGTATTTTTATCTTTTAACCTAAGCAGGATATAGGTTTAAGTATTCGGGGTTTATTTTTTTGCCTTTTTGGTATAATTATAACTGATATATTTCTTATCTTTTACAGTGAAGTTTAGCAACTGCAATGGAAAAAGAAAAGTACAATATGAGAGCAGTGAGCCTGCAGATTTTAAGGTGGATGAAGATGGCATGGTGTATGCCGTGAGAAGCTTTCCACTCTCTTCTGAGCATGCCAAGTTCCTGATATATGCCCAAGACAAAGAGACCCAGGAAAAGTGGCAAGTGGCAGTGAAATTGAGCCTGAAGCCAGCCTTAACTGAGGAGTCAATGAAGGTATAGTATCCAAATCTGGCTTTAGGGCTGGTTAAAAATCAGATTTACACAGTTTGAACTAAATATGTGCTTTGCTTCAGGTCACATTAATGGATGGCCACTATTTGAATTTTTATCAACTTCGGTCATTTTAGTAATTTTTTTGTGTGTTTTTAATCTTTTAAGATACTTAGACTAAATATATTTTAAGCAACTAGGAATTGTGTTTTAAAGATTTGTTTATACTTTGAGATTTATAACTTAAACTAGAAGCAGTTTGTTTTAAATTTCTTAGAAGCTTTACAAGCTGTTAAATAAAACCACAAAATAAACAATTCTTTACAAGATGTCATCAGTCAGATTTATTAGATGAGAAGTACAGATTTAAAGTAGTAACAGGAAAACATTTCTGGCAGTGAGTATTGGGTTTTTGTCTTGTTCCTTAATAATCAAATTGGGGGGTATGAATTATTTATACTACCAACATGACTTTTTAGGAATGATATACTCCCTCTGGTGGAAGCTGCTGTGAGCCAAGATAAAATAAATGAGGTACATTTCCAACAGAGTGCCATTCAGTTCAATTCAACAAATATTTATTGAGCACTTAATTTGTATAAGTCACTGTTAGGAATTTCAAATAAAATACAGTAACTTCAGTAAAGTTATGATAATATTTTCTGAATATTTTAGTTTTTTGAGTTAATTCAAAACAAATATGATGGGACATACCCATATATTCTGAAGTCCATGAACTATGGAACTATGACCACTACATTATTTTATACTTATTGTACTGTGAGAGATAGAAACACACACATTCATTTTGGGTATTTAGTTGTAAATGTGGTATACATACCCACCATCAAACATGAATCAAGATATCAGAGGAAAATTTATCATTTTTCTCTTATTTCAGTGTTGTGGTTTTATTATGTGAAATTTACTTTGTTAATCTATTAACTGTTGAGGGAAATCATGTCATTTGGGTAATATAAAGTGAAAACCCAGTAACTAATGGAGTGAAAAGATGCTTTTGTTGTCAATTTACTGTGTTCCAGCAAACTAGCTTGGATATTTGCACTGAAGCAGCAAGGGCTAATGGCTAAAATGTCTACAGATAGAGGAAGAAACAGAAGAAAATGTTGACATCCAGCAGAGATTAATACCTAATGTGCAAAGTGGGTCATCTACAGCATCCATCATGGCTGACATAGGTTTAGAATAATTACAGCATTAATTCTGTGGGATTTAATAGGGTCATAAATATTTGAGACATTCCTTAGCAGTATGTATTAAACTTCTCTTGGAATTCAAATTATATTTTAGCACATCAAGATCTAAATTTAATGTACAGTAGCACATTACCTGAACTGTGGTTTAAACTAATGAGAAATGTATAAAAGGGTACTATTAAATTTTGCTCAATATTAACTGCTATCTAAGAAGGTTTATAGAAACTGCAAATAGTTTACACAGCTGTGCCATATAATAAATTGTTTAGAATTCAATTTTTCAGATACACAGTATAACCCAAAAATTTTGTGGTGTTTTCTGTTATTTTAATAGGAAAAGAGCCTCTAGACTTATTTTTTGTTCATAATAAACTGTGATTCCTATGCTTTCAGGTATTCAATAATATTGATGTACTTTCAGAAAATGTTTTTCCTAGTACTCAGGAATGTCTTGTTGTATTTTAATGTAAAGGAGCCACCAGAAGTTGAAGAAATCGTATTCCCAAGACAATTCAGTAAGCACAGTGGCCACCTACAAAGGCAGAAGAGAGACTGGGTCATCCCTCCAATCAACTTGCCAGAAAACTCCAGGGGACCTTTTCCTCAAGAGCTTGTCAGGGTAAGGTGGCACAATTTTAACTGTTTTCGTAGCACAAGACAAATGTATGTTAAAAATGTTTCTATTTTTTTTACAAAGTAGAATTTATGACATGTATATACAAAAAGTGTTTTTCTATATAGATAGAATTTGTGTAGCGTTGTAGAAAGCCTCTTCTCATTTGCTTTGTTACCTTTTGAATTATTTGTAAGTAGAGCTTTCTTGTAGGTCCTGCACACTGTGGATTAGAAAGCTTTTTCAGTTTGTGACTACACAAGCCCTAAAGCCAACACATATTCCCAACCATACCATTTCCACTCTCACAACACACACACCCCTAAACTTCCCTGTCTGAAAGCTGAGCTCTCTGTAATGATCTTTGCCCTCTACCGATGGTTTTTGGGCCACAGAAAAAATAAAGGGCAATCAGTGTTAAAAATGCCAGCACCAAATGCATTTGAGTGATTTTTTAAAGAAAAGAGTGACCTCTGATACCATTAACAGAATCCCTAAGGCTGTGTAAAATCATAGGCTTTCAAATCTGAGGAGTAAGTTTTGTTTGTTTTGTTTTATTTTGTTTTTATTTACTCTAGGTACATACCATCAGCTACATAAAAAAAAAAAAATGCTGATATTTTTGCATTTTAGTAAACCTAACAACCCATTATTTATTACAAAAATATAGTAAGACAAGTCTGTTGTATTCCCATTTATTAAATATAAATGTTTCTGTATATGATTATTTTAGCATTCTAACACATACTTACTGAAAGCCTTTTTTTAAAAATAAGCTACTTATTTATGTTGCATATTCTGTCCTAATGTACATTATAATTCACTTTAACAATGAATGTAACTCTGAAATACACTGTCTCTTTTTCTACTTTAATGAAGTTTTAGAGAAAAGAGCATTTTGCTTTAACTTAAAAAAAAAAAAAAAAAACAGGCCAGGTGTGGTGGCTCACGCCTGGAATCTGAGCACTTTGGGAGGCCAAGGTAGGCAGATCACAAGGTCAGGAGATCGAGACCATCCTGACTAACGTGAAACCCCGTCTCTACTAAAAATACAAAAAAATTAGCCGGACATGGTGGCGGGCTTCTGTACTCTAGTCTCCTGGCTGAGTCAGGAGAATGTCGTGAACCCGGGAGGCGGAGCTTGCAGTGAGCCGAGATCACGCCACTGCACTCCAGCCTGGGAGACAGAGGGAGACTCCTTCTCAAAAAAAAAAAAACAACAAAAACTAGATTTTATTGATGGATTAAGTATAAGTAACTAATACATAAGGATCTCTTATTTTTTTCTCTGTACCTGCCTCCCTCCGTCCCCTTCCGTAGCCTATTCTGTCTCCTGTGACTGCTTACACATTGACTTAATTTTCTTGAGAGTAGTTGTATTTGGAGAAGGCAGTGAGCCTGTAAGTGATATATTGTTTGCGAGCACAAAAATATATCTTAAAGTGCTTTCTTTTGTGCTTTATTATTAATGAAAATTTCAGGTGTCACTTTAGAATGATACGGAACGCTTTGGTGCTATGAACAGTGTTAGTACAATGCAAGTACAGAAATCCGACATTCAGGCTCAGCCATGACTGTATTAGAGTTCCATTTGAGGATATTTCACACTATGGATAGACAATTAATTCTTGTTACTGATGCAAAAAGGTAAACAATGTTTATTTTAATGAAATTGGACAGCTGTTACTATGTTAAATCGTCTAACCTAGAAACTCCCAGGACAGAGTTTGATTGTTTAAAAACTGACACTTGTAGATTTGGAACTTTTGCACTGCTCCTAGTGAGTCTTCTTTTAGATGTTAATGTTGCCTCCCATCTTTCTGGTGATAGATGACATCTCTTTTGAAGCCTATCACCAAGAAGCAGAGGAAGAACAGGCACTAGGAGAGTTTCAGTGATTTTCTGGGAAGAGATGGTAGAAGTTTGTAGCTGAAAAAGGGCATGAAGTGTGATGTGCCCCATCTCTGATAATGAGCTCATTTAGTCTCTCACTTAATGTGATTGTTTTCTTGATCCTCAGATCAGGTCTGATAGAGATAAAAACCTTTCACTGCGGTACAGTGTAACTGGGCCAGGAGCTGACCAGCCTCCAACTGGTATCTTCATTATCAACCCTATCTCGGGTCAGCTGTCAGTGACGAAGCCCCTGGATCGCGAGCAGATAGCCCGGTTTCATGTAAGTTTCCAACCAGCTGATAATTCTGTGTATTAACACTTCTAAATGTCTGCAGAATTTACCATTGCCTTTTATATCAGTCTGAAAGCCTCAATATTGAGAGTTTTAAGAATTGCATCTGTAGTCTTTTGGTTAATTTTAATAATTTTATTGTTTTTGTAGAATTGATAAATGCCCTGATAGAAAAACAAATAGACAGATAAATGCCACAACAAAGAAAGAAGGAAGTGAAATTGCCTAAAATCTCATTACTCTTTACATATTGATCCTTGCCTTCAGATATGTGGTTAAGAACCTGTAAGAACAAATTTGTATGAATGGAGTCAAATCTGTTACATGTAAAATATATAGATATCATAGCATCGTTAATGAATGCATAATATTCTAATCAAAGTGAATCCACTATTCCTTTCTTATGTTGAATTTTCTTTGGGATTTTTTTACTCTTATTGCTAAGAACCTTTTATCTAATTAGGAATATTAGTGCTTGGTTTGTCCTACATTTTCTCCTTATGTTTATTTCTAACATTGTCAATAATTTTCCCATAGTAGAACATCGTTTTTACACTGTAAAATTCATTTAAAAAATTTTTTTCATACATTCTGGCTTTCCAGAGATGTTAATAAAGGCCTTCTCTACTGCAGGATGCCAGTCTCCCTAGTTTTACTCCAGGATACCAGTCTCCCCAGTTCCCTAATTTTTTGTTGTGTTGACTTTTTACATGTGAATTTTTAACCTCTGCGAAATTATTTTAATAAAAGGAGACACCCACTTTGTTTTTCCTTTATGACTAGCTACTTGTCCCAACAGCATATATTGAATTAGTTTCCCCATTAGATCCATCGTCTACACTTACTTAATCACTAAAACTTTCATCCCACATGTGCATGGATGTGTTTCCAGACTCTTATTTTGCCCACTGATACACTTGTTGAATTCTTGTACTTTTACCTACTTTTAAAATTATTGATGTTTTTTTCTTTTTTTTTTTTAATTATACTTTAAGTTCTAGGGTACATGTGCACAACGTGCAGGTTTGTTACATATGTATACATGTGCCATGTTGGTGTGCTGCACCCATCAACTCATCATTTACATTAGGTATTTCTCCTAATGCTATCCCTCCCCCCTTCCCCACCCCAGGACAGGCCCTGGTGTGTTATGTTCCCCACCCTATGCCCAAGTGTTCTCATTGTTCAGTTCCCACCTATGAGTGAGAACAATTATGGAAGTTTTTAAACTTCAATAGATTCACCTAGATCAAACAGACAAGTAAGTATATGAAAAATTTAAAATGTCTTATGCACTGAGTATTGCTCTATACTCTTTCTTCCCAAAGACCTTGATTTCTTCATCATTCCATTTTTTAAAATCATTGGAGGAATAGGTTATTCTAATGCTTTCCATATTGTTTTGAAATGTAGGAAAAGAAGTAAAACTTCCAAACGTCTCACAAAGACAACATAGCATTAATAAGGAAACGTATTTTTAGATAGCATACAATAAACCAGCCACTACTTAGACTAGTCTCTAATTTATGAATATAAATAAGATCAATTTAAAATTCTTAAGGATCTCTTCCTATAGGAATTCTCACTATCTGAATTCCTGTGGTTAAAACTCAGGAAATGAGTATATTCAGGTCAAATTTGGATTAAATTATTGCTCAGTGCTTGCTACTTGCACATTAAAAGAGCAATACCAGCCAGGTGTGATGGCTCACACCCAGAATCCTAGCAATTTGGGAGGCCGAGATGAGTGGCTCACTTGAGGTCAGGAGTTCCAGACCAGCCTGGCCAACATGGTGAAACCCTGTCTTTACTAAAAATAAAAAATAAAATTATTCTCATGTGGTGGCGCACACCTGTAATCCCAGCTACTCAAGAGGCTCAGGTGGGGGAATCACGGGAACCTGGGAGGCGGAGGTTGCAGTTAAGCCGAGATTATGCCAGTGCACTCTTACCGTCCAGCCTAGGTGACAAAGCAAGACTGCATCTCACCAAAAAAAAAAAAAAAAAAAAAAAAAAAAAGTAACACCCATAACAGAGTAAAATTAATTATACAATTGAAAGTATTAAGGTTTAGTATTCAGATTCAATATTTTATACAAGTATAATTAAGTTTTAGTATTAAGAATATTAATATAACATAAGATATTAAATAAGCCAAGGGCAAAAAAAAAGAATTATCTTTATAGGTATTGAATGGCAGTATTAAAATTTACATTGTTTTTATGTGTTTAAATAACCTCTGAATTTAAAAAAGGATATGTTGAAGGTGTTTTTTAATTTGATTGAGTATCCAGCAGCAACCAATGGCAAGCATCAGACTTCACAGGAAAACTAGAAGCATTCCAGTCAAAAAGAAACAATTAAAGGAGCACTAAACAGCTATTGAAAAGAATGAAATGAATCTATGGGCTAGATGAAAGGATTTTGATGATATTCTGCCAAGTGTAGCCGAGTGATTATTTTTGTTTAAAAAGAAAAATAAGATAAAGTTTCTAGAACAGTATCTATAAAACTGAGAACTGAGCTGGGGAGAGGAACAGCTATCGTATATACTCGTGTATTTTTTTTTTTTTTTTAACGGAGTCTCGCTCTGTTGCCCAGGCTGGAGTGCAATAGCACGATCTCAGCTCACTGCAGCCTCCGCCTCCTGGGTTCAAGCGATTCTCCTGCCTCAGTCTCTAAGTAGCTGGGATTACAGGCACCCGCCACCACACCCAGCTAATTTTTTGTATTTTTAGTAGAGACAGGGTTTCGCCTTGTTGGCCAGGCTGGTCTCAAACTCCTGACCTCAAGTGATTCACCTGCCTCGGCCTCCCAAAGTTCTGGGATTACAGGCATGAGCCACATGCCCGGCCATATACTAGTATATTTTTAACGTTTGTGAATGACTTTTACAATTAAGAAAAATAATTAAAAAAAAAAAACACTAGTGTCAAATTTCCTACGTACACTTACTTCTTTCTAGATTATTTTCTGTTCCCTTGATCTCTATGACTACTTTGTGCTACTTCCACTTTTTTTTTTTTTTTTTTTTTGACACAAGAGTCCCACTCTGTCATCCAGGCTGGAGTGCACTGGCACGATCTCAGCTCACTTCAACCTCGGGTTCAAGGGATTCTCTTACCTCAGCCTCCCAAGTAGCTGGGATTACAGACATGTGCCACCAGGCCCAGCTAATTTTTTCTGTATTTTTAGTAGAGACAGGGTTTCGCCATGTTGGCCAGGCTGGTCTCAAACTCCTGACCTCAGGTGATCCGCCCACTTTGGCCTCCCAAAGTGCTGGGATTACAGGCGTGAGCCACCGTGCCTGGCCTACTTTCACATTTTTAATTACCTTAAGTCTGCCTTCTCAACTGGTTTAGCAATAGGATTTTGGAGCTGTACACAGCTGGTTTTGGATCTGAGTCCTGTCAGCAGCAAGAGCAGTGACCTTCATAAATTTCCTAGTCTTTCTGAGGCTCAATTTCATCTTCAAATGCTGACAATTTCTGCCTCACTCCTTTGTATGTGGATTAAATGAGTTAAAATCCATTGTGCTCTGAGAACAACGCCTAGCATATAGTAAATGATAGCTTTTTGCTACTATATCTATCCTAATTATATGGACTTGGTGTAACTTAAATTTTGGTGGGAAGAACAGCTTTTGTTTTTAAGCTGTGAGTTTATTCTTGCTATTTTAGTAGCCTTATAATGATGTATTTATCTTCTCACAGACATAAATCTGTTAAATAGTTTTGTTTTCTAATTACTTTTGCAGTTGAGGGCACATGCAGTAGATATTAATGGAAATCAAGTGGAGAACCCCATTGACATTGTCATCAATGTTATTGACATGAATGACAACAGACCTGAGTTCTTACACCAGGTTTGGAATGGGACAGTTCCTGAGGGATCAAAGCCTGGTAAGTTTAAAGATAATAATTTGAAGATGACTTGAGGAAAGTTTGGTATAAACCAGCCCTGTTATATGAGCAAGAAATGGAGAAATCATGTGAGCCTTTTTTGGATCATTTTCTTTCATTCATAATGCTTTTGGGAAGGAAGGAAGGTAACTTAGGAAAAAACCGATTGAAGAGAGAAAAATAACAACAACAAAAATCCTTGTTACCCATAATGATTTTGACCACCTTTGAAAAAATATGCACTACAGTATTTGATTCTGTCCTGTGGAATACATAGGATCCTTTCATTCTGCTTTAGTTGATTCAGCCAATGCATCTTGAAAGTGAGCCCCAGAAGACGAGAGGCTTTCTATTTATAAAGTACAGATGTGACTGTATGAGACATAGCAGCAATTAAACACGGTGGGAAAGCCTTAAAGATACTTGACGTTCCTGGGACTAGGTGGCGAAGGCAAAGCGAAAGCATGGAAGGGGCTTAGTGACAGCTGTGATTGCTGCCCTCTGGCTCCTCAGGACAGTTATTTTCAGGGTGGCCAGCGTGTCCCCTGCAGTGCTCTCCCTTCAACCAGCAAAATGGAAAATGCGCTGGCCTAGAAATAGCACTTGAGGAAAGCCACTCATGATTGTAAAGTGGTGTTTGACTAAGATTTTAGATTCTTATATTAAAAATATGACACACTTCAGTCACTGTAGAATAGCCAGGCCCCTAGAAAACCATGGACAAGATAATCAGTTGGTATAGGGATGGTAAAAGTAAGTGTTTGACCAGGCTTCCTGAGATGACATGGGGTTCAGAGAGATTTAATTAGCTATTGTATTTTTAAAAGCCTCAGCATTTAAAATTGTGCTGCATAATACCTTTGTCATCGACACCAGTTTATGCAACAACCTTATGCGCGAGTCAGTTTACAGATATAACCAACTATGGCTCAAACGCATACATTTTCTTGGTCCCAGTGCATATATGTGCCTCTTCAGAAAAGATGTAGGGGTAGGGTGGGGGCAGCTGGAGGGAGGCCAGGGGATGTGCAGGAAATTCAGCCATCTGTGACTCCTTCTAAGTCACGTCATCAGAGTAGCTTTCTTCAGTATTTTAAAATACAGTAAAATTAAAGCAAATTCAGCATTTCCTTACTAAAACGCAAGTCTTTACAAATATTCCAAAGAAAACAAACATTGGGCTTTTGGGACTGTGGAAATTTTTTATATTATTTTCTTTTTTTTCTCTATTATTTCAAACTTTACAAGAATTGTTTCACAAAAACTGTTTAAAATGTGCCACTAAAGCTATATTTATTATGCATTTTACCATGAATTTCCATATGATCCACCCATAAATAAAAGACTCTCAGCTATTGCTAGAAGTAGACATATTGTGAGTATATTTCCTGTGGGTCTTCTATAAGTTTGAAAACATCCTTCTAGGCAAGATTTGTGATGAATCTTGAGCTAAACTGTGTTGTGATCTATATTTTGGCTCACACTTTTGAAACATACCTTTTTATTCTAATGATTTATTCATTCATTCAGCAAATGTTTATAAAGCATATGCTGTGTGGTAGGCCTTGTTCTGATACCGTGGATACAGTGGTGACAAGCTAGTTCCTGCCCTGTTGGAACTTAAATTGTAGTAGGGGAGATAAATAAAAAACACGAAAACAAGCAAGTACACACTGAAGGTTTTGAAAAAATGAAGGTGTAGGGATGACACATAATCAAAATAGGTAAATGGTTTAAAGGGACAAGTTCTGAAATGAGATTTGAATAATATTACCAAAGCATCGTTAGTTCAGAACCCAAGGTATACTATGGAGAGAGAATACCCAATGTAAACAGGCTCCGAGGTAGAACTGAACTTGAGTATTCAAAAGGAAGGTAGACTGGAGATAAACATTTCATAATTCAATTCTTAAAAGGATCCCACAGAACAAACCATTCTAAACAGTAACTACTTCTCAATTTCTAAATTACAGTTTGTCTAGCTAGTTTGAACTAATTGGATACAAAGGCTTTGAAGATTTCCAAAATATCTAATAAATTGAAGTCTCTAAGTTGGTTCCAATGTTCTTTTAATCACTGAGGAAATAATGAAACACAATGCCAAATCTCTATGCAATGTACCGAAACAGCAGTGCATGAAATGGTTCCTTATGACCTGAGGAAATGGAGTGTGCCGCGTTCTGCACACAGCCTACATTCAGAAAATGACTCAGGCACTGGGGAGAATCATACTCAGCATGTTATTTTAGACGTTATTGCATAACGGAAGAAAAGATGACAGAGGGAAGAATCAGTGGCAATAAATTATGTTTCTAATGGTATCTATATTATCCATTATTTGCATTTTATATAAATTAAGGTCTAAAATGAACCTTTTTGGAATCATAAAGTGAATTTATCTTCCAAGTTATGGAAAAATTGAGTTTTTATAAATATGTATGTTGTATAATTTTTCATTCAAGGATCCAGACCAGGTTTTATCTTTTTTGAAATAAGTACTGTTCTTATGAGTAGCATTTTAAATCAAGTCTAAATGACTTTAAATATTGTTTTTAAAAAGTGAAAATAAGACATATCAAAACTATAAATATACCTTCTCTTTTGGGGTCCCTGGAATGAAGGGTAACCATTTTCCATGTACACTGTCTCTAGGAACATATGTGATGACCGTAACAGCAATTGATGCTGATGATCCCAATGCCCTCAATGGGATGTTGCGGTACAGAATCCTGTCTCAGGCTCCAAGCACCCCTTCACCCAACATGTTTACAATCAACAATGAGACTGGTGACATTATCACAGTGGCAGCTGGACTTGATCGAGAAGTAAGCCAACCAAAAATTCTATTTGTGTTTGCTTTTAATCTTAAAGGTAGACAATATCACATACATTTTATCTCCACATCACAAGCTCCTCACAGTGTTGTTCAAATGCTATGCTAATCGTTTTCATTAAGTAACCTGTTGTATATTTTTCTGCAGATCTTCAAATTGGTTAAATGATGTATATATACTAGATAAATCAATGCTAGCCTATGTAGTATTTAATGTGATACTGACTAAGCAATATTCTCTGGTATCTAATTTTTAAAATTTTTAACATTTCCTTAGTTTTCCATGATAGTCAAAGATTTTTGTGAGGAATTAAAAATCACAGCCTAATAATTTGCACACAAACTTAGGGTAATTGTTAACGCTTCTGTTATGAAAAGGCTGCAAATAACATGTACGTGATTTGGGTTTTTTTAGCCCTTGTGAATAGGCTGATAGAGTGTATAGTAGATTATCTTCTTTATTAGAACTAGCCCCTTAACTCTATGATTAATTTACTTAAAAGGCTTGAGCAGTAGTAACTGCATTAATTCTACTCGCAAGTATTTGAAGTTAGAAATACAGAGAAACACATTTCTGACATAACATTTAGTTGAAAATGTATGCAGTGTTGAAGGCATTGAAATACTATGCAGTATCACAGTCTGACAGGGAACGGGTACTTCTGTTGATTCTCGGTGGGTCATCTCAGTGTTACCGGCCTCGACCCACTGTGCTCCTGCATACCCCTGTGTTTTTGTACATGTGATCCCCTCGGCCAGGCATGCCTTGCACCTTTTTCTTGATCTTGGATCTTCCAGTTCTTCAGGTTCTGATTCAAGCACTGCTCATATTCTTTCCTGAAAACCTCACTCCTAGTGAAACTTTTTCATCCTTTCTCGATTCTATCCTGACTATTTTCTTACAGATTCTCAAGGTCATTATTTTGACCATATGTAATCATTGTTTGAGTGAAATATCAAAGTGCCAACTCAGGGAGATCGGTGCTTTGTAGATTTCTGACTGAGCCAGCTTTTACTGCAATGAGACTTCAGATTATGTATGTCAAAAGGAGACATCATACTCACTGCAATAAAATAATCATTGACAAGGATTTTAGAAGTTCGTTGTTTTTTGACACTTTATTTTCTGTAGACACATTCATTTGAATTGAATAGAAGAAAACATTACTATTGCAATTAATATTATACACAAAATAGTGCTAGAAGCACTACAGTAAAGTAATATGAGCCAATTAAGATTACTTTATTCTGAGCTGAGAGCCTTACTTAGGAGTTGGTGTATGCCTGTGACATTGTACCTATTAACTTGTAGGCATCAACAGTTCTTTTTCTAGAATTGATTTGCATCAGAGATTGTTGAAATCAGTTTAGTTTCTTAAGTAGTACTTTTAGTTCAGTAATATTTGGAACATGTATATATTTTCACCTCTTCATTACCATATGAAATACTATTTTTATATGCTGATAAACTCAGCATGAATGTCATAATTTATCTGAGAATATGGGGTAATTTTCAGTATTCTTTCTTCAGTGCCACGTTGCTCATATACCAAGTAGATTTAGTTCATTTCACAATCCTAATATTTCTCTTTCATTCACATTGTCATTGTGAGATACAGAAATGAGACTTCATCCTGTTTTCATACGGTAATATTCCTATCTCATTTAGACTGGCTGTTTTATGGAAAGAAAGAGGCATGGAAAATTAAAGATACTTTTTACTAAAACAGACCAACCATGTTTAAAAATCAAAGAGACTGTATTTCGTTTAGAGGATGAAAGCCTGACGTGAGGCCATAATCGTCATTAAGTTTATCTTCCAGTGGATAGAGAAGCTGTTCACTACCCCTTGATGAAACTAATGTGGAAATGGATTTGAAACTATAGAATTCTGGGTTAGATACAGTATGAGAAATAGCTTCTTGACAGTGAAATTATTAAACACAACAATGAGTTACTAGGGAAAATTATGGAAAACCTTCCTTTTCTGAAAGTCATTTAACATAGAAAAAATGTATCTATCTCGGATGGTTTATGATAATTCTTCCTGAGGCCGGGGATAAATTACTTTGACTTTTTCAGGCCTCGTGCAGGCTTGAAATTCTTTTATTTCTATTAGAATTCACAGTTTCCTTTCTGTCAAAAGTAATATTTGTTCTCGTTCTCTCAGGATGTATGGCACCTTTAAGTGATTGAACTCCTAATCACTGAAATGCTTACTGAGATTCAGCTTTTTATTTTTCTTTAATCTTCAGGTTTATAAAAATTCAGTTTTAATTCTTCAGCTTCTCTAGACCTAAAGGTGTATTTGCCACATTACCCCAGTCTTCAGCGTTTATTCCTATCTGTCCTCTTGTGACATTACTTGCTGGTAGTATTCCTGGCCTTTCCAATTCATGTCCATTTTCCTCCCTTTTTGTGCAGGACTGCCAGTGACTCACCCTTGCTCCCCCCAGGTTTGAACTCTGGCTCTGCTTATTATGGGCTGTTTGACTTCCAGTGTATTAACCTGAAACCTCAGCTCCTGCATCCGTAAATGGGAATAATAATATTACCTACCTCATGGGACAGTTTTAAGAATTATCTAACATGACACATGAAGCATTCAGACCAGTGTGGTGGCCCATACCTGTAATCACAGCATTTCAGGAGGTTGAGGTGGGTGGATGGCTTGAGCCCAGAAGTTCAAGACCTGCCTGGACAACATGGCGAAACCCCATCTCTACAAAAAATACAAAAATTAACTGGGCATGGTGGTGTGCACCTGTAGTCCCAGCCACTTGGGAGGCTGAGCAGGAGAATCACCTGAGCCTGGGAGGTCAAGGCTGCAGTGAGCTGTGATTGCACCACTGCACTGCAGCCTGAGTGGCAGAGTGAGACCCTCTGTATTAGTCTGTTCTCACGCTGCTATGAAGAAATAACTGAGACTGGATAATTTATAAAGAAAAGAGGTTTAATTGGCTCACAGTTCCTCATGGCTGGGGAGGCCTCAGGAAGCCTAGAATCATGGCAGAAGGTACCTCTTCACAGGGCAGAAGGAGAGAAATGAAGAGTGCAAGCAAGGGAAATGCCAGACACTTATAAAACCATCAGATCTTGTGAGACTCACGCATTATCATGAGAACAGTGTAGGGGAAACTGCCCCCATGATTCAGTTACCTCCACCCGGTTCCGCCCTTGACACATGGGGATTATGAGGATTACAATTCAAGGTGAGATTTGGGTGGGGACACAGAGCAAAACCATATCACCCTGTCTTAAAAAAAATGTGTGTGTATGTGTATATATATATTTAAAAGCATTTTGAAAAGCATTCAGTACAGTGCCCAATACATCTGAGCTATTGTTCTCCCCATTGCCGTGATGAATAGCAACAGCAGCATCTCCTGGTTGAGCACCATCTATCACCTTTACTCCTCCTCATAAGATGAAAGAAATACTTCCTGTTTTCCAAACCTGATGATCTTTCTGTTTGTGCCTTCAACTCCTAATTCCATCCTGAAGGGATGTTCTCCTGTTTTCTGTTGTGTCTTCAATCTTCTTTTCTCTACAGGTTGCTTCATAATCTACACACCTGCTGGGTCTCCGCTGTGGTAACATAGCTCTCCACGCCCTATAGGATGAAGTTAGAGCTTTTTAGTAGTGCATTCCAGACCCTCTGTGACCTTGGCCCCAAAACCCTCCTTAACCTAACCCCCTAGAATTAATTGCCTTTCACATACAAATGATGCCCATTGAACCACACGCAGTCCTTGTGCAAATAGGAAGTTTTCTATTCTTCTGTTCCCATTTGCTCTGCCTCAATATTCCTTTCCTACATAACAGGCTGATCCTTACCCTCTGAGAGCCAGTTCTCAATCCCTTCTCTGAGCACCCACAATAGTCTCTGCATACCTTTATATAGACTGTGTTGCACAGAAAGTATATCTAGATTCCCATTCTCAACATCCGGTGGGGCAGATGTTCCATGTCTCATTACCCTGAACATGAATCTTAAAGAAATGTTTAAGTTACTATACTTTCCCTGAGTTCCACACCAATTTTCTCCAAGGGACAGCCTGTACTCAAGGCAGGCAGATCACTTGAGCCCAGGAGTTTGAGACCAGCCTGGGCCACATGGCGAAACCCTATCTCTACTAAAAATACAAAAAATTAGCCAGACGTGGTGGCACATGCCTGTAATCCCAGCTACTCAGGAGGCTAAGGTAACAGGATCACCTGTCACCTGAGTCTGGGTGGTCAAGGCTGCAGTAAGCCATAATCGCACCACTGCAGTCCAGCCTGTGTGACAGAGGGAGACCCTGTCTCAAGAATAAGCAAACAAAAAATACTTCCACTCCTTCCTCATCCACTTGAAGTCCGGCTTTTCATCTGCTTTCCCCTCTTGACCTGTGCACATGCTGCGTGTGTGCAGTACTCTGACCATCGTAGAAGGCACTCACATAGTGGGTTGATTAATGGTACAGATTCTTGACTCAGACCTGAGTTCAAGTCTAGTCTCTGCCTCTTATGGCTGGGTGTCCATGGCAAGCTTCCGTACCTTTGTAAGCCTGTTTTCTCATCTGTAAAATGGGGTTTCAAAACCCCACCTGCCTCAAAACCCCACCTGCCACATATTTCATTTTGTGAGGACTAAATGAAATAATGCATAGTGTGTAGCACTTTGCCAGGCATGTAGTGCTCAAACTCAATAAAAGTTGTTTTTAGTTTTTAAATCACGGCCCTTGAAACAGTGCCGGCATGTAGTACGTATACAAAAGAAAGTTAGATTACACGTTTATAAGATAGATGGTACTTTTAGTCCCATTTCACAGATAAGGGGACTGGGGCTTAGCAGTTAAGAATTTGAACAGAGTCACAAATCTATACTTCCTTCCTAAGTTTCGGTGCCATTATTATTCAACTCTCTGTCCCTAACCCAGTTTATCTAGAGGCAAATATGTCATGTCCTAAAACCTGTGATTTATGATGAATTTCCTATTTCACATGACCAGGGCCTTCTCCTCAGTCTCCCAAGGTCATAGTTTAATTGCCTTTACTACCCACAATCTGTTTAGTCATCAAGTTCTCTTTTTAATCAAAAAAAGTAATGACATTAAAAGTAATTGCCATTAAAAGTAATGACAAACACTGCATTTACTTTTGTACCAACCTAATAGTTGGTATGCACTATTGAAGGTTCTTCATATTACTTCTTCCTACCATTTCTATACTTGCACTCATGCATTTGGTGGCTCTCTATGGTCCTATCATCCGTTACTCTCTGCCTCCATCGCTTAACGAAAGCAAGGCTGTATCTCGTTTTGGCCACTGTTTTATCCAAGTAAATACTCCATTGCCTGGCATTTAGAAGACACTCATTAAATGTCTGCTGTATGAATGACTGAATGTTCTCACTTCCTCATTCACTGATGTCACTCTAGTTCAGTGTTTCAAAATAGTGCTGCACGTGCGTAGGATTTTAATTGGTAAATGCAGAGACGCCTCTAGGACAGCAAGCGGACACAGCCCTTCAGGTGCTACTTCATCAAGTAGAGACTGCCAGAATCTAAGAAATTCATCATGTTTATTTTTTACTGTCATATTCATGATAAGTGATGCTAGCTTTCCATTTATGGGACTTTTACAATAAATTAAGCTTTGAATAGCAAATTAATGTCAAGATAAATAGGAAGTGACTCATAGTATGAGGAAATGTTAGAATTGGGACTATTGTATATGAATCACTGTGGTTTAGGGAAAAGGTGAGCTAGTTTATGCTCCCAGTATGGGTTTTAATAAATAAATTCTAGCTATCCATGTGAATAGAAGATGGTTTTTTCTTTACCTGAGGTAAGATCATGCAAAACCCAAGGTTTCTTATGCATTCACCCATCCATCCACCAAGTCAGAAGCATTTGTGGAATTCTTACTGTGAGTCAGGCACTGTGCCATATGCCAGTGACACAAGCATCAACAAAGCAAGGGCCCTTGGGACATGTGTGTGTGTGTGTGTCTGTATATATGCACACACATGCACAGTGAGGCAGATACAAATATACGACCGGTAACAGCCATATAAACTATAAACAGTGATGGGATGTGTTGTGAGGGCTCTGTCCTGAGGACTTGGCAGAAGTCATCTCCAAAGTGGCTTTTAAGCCACATGTTAGCCAGGCTTGGAATGAAGGGAATAGTATTCCAGGCAAGGGTTTCTCAACCAGGACACTCTGACATTTTTACTTGGTTATGAGGGCTATCTTGTGTATCATAGGATGTTTAGCGCATCCTTGGCCTCTAGCCATTAGATGTCGGTACTAAGTTTCACTCTGGGTAACATCCACTAGTCTGGCCAAATTCTGTGACATAGGATCATGACAGGGCATTTGAAGATAAATGCAAAATAGCTCCAGGTGTAGGGTAAGCGAATGGGAGGAATCACTTTTGTAAAATAGGCGAGTTTCAGAGAGGGAAGGATTGACAGCAAGCAGATGAGTTCGGATTGTATTCTATATAGAGCAGGAAGGGAGGAGAAGTTTTCAAGCAGAATCCCCTTGATCAGCTGAGGTACTATGAGAGTGGCAAGTCGAACCCTTATGGAATCTAAATGTCAGTCATTCACAAACAGATGTCCAGTGACCAAATTAGGCAAGAAGCTCTAAGCAGTTCATTGTCTAAAACATAGGCCATCAAGGCTTCCTTACTAAATATGAGAATATTTTACCAATCAGGCATTTGAAAATGGAGATGACATTATTTACCAACTGAATTTTTTTTTTATTTGACGAGATACTGTACTTTGGAAATAACAAGTGTCCTTTTATAATTTAAAATTTCCAGACTAGCTTGCAGCAATAAGAAATTTCAAGTATTAGCTACTAATTCCAGTATTGCAGATCAGTGGAAAATTATTGGATGTATTATGCATACACAATTCTAAAGATTTTTGTAGAATAGACATTAGGAAAGAACTATACCTTCATGTAATACCTATGTGAGTTAACTTCTTAAAAAGTAAACTTCCTTTTTTCTCTCTTTTTGAGAATGTTCATCTGTTTCTGCAAATAACAGCTAACAAAACTGACATTTCAAAAGTCATAATTTTTTTATTTTCATGGTTTTCAGCTGGGAGGCTGAACTGAATGCCCCGCAAAATTCTCTCACTAACCATGAAAGCATTAAGCTGAAGTGACACTTCTAACTGGGGAAGAAAACCAATTGAAGAAGTATTATAGCTTATGTTCACGTTATAGCGAGGTACTGTGGGTTAAGAAAAATTAAATGACTCTACCAACATTATTTCTTTGTGTTTTTTAATTCAAAAAAAGTCTAACATGTTCTCTTTTAGGAAGACAAATAACTGAAATAAATAACTGCCAGAGACTGGCATTTGGGTGGACAGACAGAGACTTAGAATCTAATGTGGGTGGTTTGGCTTTCCCTCCTACTCCTTTCTTTTCTTTGCCCCTCCCTCTGACAACTAAATCAAAAGCTACAATTTGTGTCTGTTCTATCTAAGCTCCAGAAATCCCTTAAGAATGGCCATTCATAATGTTAGCTATATTTAGAATCAGGGAAAACTACACTTTGCAGTGACAGTTTATTTTTGTATGTAGTGGATTTTGTTGTTCAGAATGTTTTAACATTTATGAAAATGATCACTGTTTTTGATCTATCTGTGTCAATTTCCACAGAGATTCCAAATGATTTTAGATATTGTTGTAGTTAGGCTTTCCTAATATAAAACTTTTTCGACAAATGCCTGACTTTCTCAATCTCAGCATTTTCTCTTAGATCTATTACAGCTTAATTTGGCTCTCTTTTAAAACAGTCAACCTGGGATTTGAAAGTAGTGGATGCCTGTCTAATAATAATCATCTAATGTAAACGTATCAATATTTATATCCATTGTAGGTCTATGCTCAAAACAGTGGACACAATGAGTGTTATACCCAAATCCTAATCCATTGAATACGCAGTTATCAGATATATGCCGTTAGAAGACTATGGAAATAAACATAAACCCTTCAAGTTTTGACTTTGTTTAAGAATGCTGTGTATCTCTTCTATATGGTTTTGAATTATATGTATTAATGGAATTTAAGGGGCAATATGGCATCTACCCTGTTAAAATAGAATATATGTAAGAACATATAAAAGGAAAGCTTACATACTTCGTGAATTATATATGCATTCTTCTCCCTCTCTTGAGATTCTTCATTGTCTTTAGTATCCTAAACTGGGTAGAAATTAACATACAAGAAAGTAAATATGAACCAAATGACTTGAATGCTTCATCACAATCCTGTGAAGTGAAGAAAGGCAAAAGTTGGAACCAGATGGAGGTTTCAGCTTAGCTGTGAATTTCACACATCTGCATTGCGTTCCTTTCTGCCAGTAGAGGTGAATATACACAGTTAAATCTCTCTAGACAGGGACCAGACCTGTGCTTCTAAGTTAAAGGGAACTCCACTTGGGAAATTCAAGTCATGTTAATCAGAATGAATGATGCCATGCTCTCCTTGCATTATAAAGAGCCATTTACAAAACAACTGTTATGTCTTCTTGAGGAACTAGTTTCATTTAAGTTATCTTTATTTCTTTTTAGAAAGTGCAACAGTATACGTTAATAATTCAAGCTACAGACATGGAAGGCAATCCCACATATGGCCTTTCAAACACAGCCACGGCCATCATCACAGTGACAGATGTCAATGACAATCCTCCAGAGTTTACTGCCATGACGGTGAGTACAGCCTGTCACTCACACAACTTTGGGTCTATAGTTCGTTACTGAGAAGTTTGGTCATGAATAATAAATGTGTTAAATAGAGGTGGAACTTGCTTTACCTAGTAGTAGCATGGCTGCTGACTAGGACATTTCTGTCATCAGGGCCTTACATGAGGCATCCAAGTAATTTGTTTCCTTGTAGTCTCCAAGTCCACTGCTAAAGTTGTTCAAATAAGCTGCCTGGAAAACACGTCCTACAAAGACTGTGCTGTTATAACAAAATGCTTATGAATATTTTCAGGTGCATGAGCTGCATAACTGATTTATGCTACTTTGTCAGCATATAATTATCCATATCTGGAGTAAAATCATTTTGCGCAGACAAGTTCTTTCCCCCACCCCACCATAATCACCTAGAGACTCACAAATGGATGCTGATTTTAATATTAATGAAACTGTAAGGTAATTTGGAAAAAAACTGGACTACTGAAAAATGTTACAGTATTTTTAAAGTCAGACATAAATGCTGTGATTACCTGCATTATCAGTCTCCTCATTTAGTGTTGATAATAAAAATTTAATGGGGCAGTAAAATTGGACGGTGTGGTCATCAAGACAAGTTGTCCTTCAGTGGTCCACGCTGCTCCTCTGACTGAGGTTTGTCTTTCTCGCAGTTTTATGGTGAAGTTCCTGAGAACAGGGTAGATGTCATAGTAGCTAATCTAACTGTGACTGATAAGGATCAACCCCATACACCAGCCTGGAATGCAGTGTACAGAATCAGTGGCGGAGATCCTACAGGACGGTTTGCCATCCAGACCGACCCAAACAGCAACGACGGGTTAGTCACCGTGGTCAAAGTAAGTGTTCCTCAGGCCACCAACAGCTACTCAGCAAGGACCAATATATGTCCCCCACTCATTGTTTTGCAATGGAAACTTAGGATGTTTTTCTTTCAGATATCTCCAGGTGTGGGTCTGACATATATTTGGGAGGTTATGTCTTACTGTGTAATTTATGCTGAGGCATCATCACTGATGTGAGGGTTTTTGAATGAGAGGTTTGTGATGAGAGTTTTGTGAGTTTTTGAGTGAGTTTTGAGTGAGAGTTTTGTGAGCGTTTTGATGTTTTTTTTTTGAATCAGTTTGGACAGTTTTTACCAATCTGAGGACGCAACATTAACTGTCGGTGTAGTTGATATATTCGTGATATATCACATTCTGAAGCTTTGATCACCATTGATAGCTATTAAGAATGATGCCTCACACCTGCTATTTTCATGTCTACAGCTGTTAGAATATTGGCAGATAGTGAACAAACCGGAAAAGCCATAGAAGTAAAATGGAATGAGTAGGCAAGAAGAAAGCCTGCATTTCAGAAAGCTCTTGCATTTGCATGGCTGTTTTTAAATGCTGTTTCCGAGACGTTAAGAAATCGGTTCTTCTGATCTTATGGTCAAAAAAGAACCAAACAAAACAATTGAATGCTAGAAGCCGAGGGGATGTTCTTCAAGAATAATAAACGCATAGCTATAATGGAAAAGCCTGTTAAAGTGAACATCCCTTCCTTTTAGCCGCCCAGTAAAGAAATTTACTTCTTTGCCTCCCACCTAAACACTCTTGATTTGTAAGTGAACCTAAATGTTGACCTTACATAGAAAGATGTGCGAAAGTTGCCAAGAATTATGCAGATACGTGAGTAGAATGGAATGGGAATGAAAACTTTCAGAAGGAACATGGTGATCAAAAGCACCAACTCGAGTCCGCTGTCTGTGTAGAGTCCCAGCGCTGCTCCTGGTATCTGTGTGATCATGGCCAGCTATTTAACCACTGTAAATTCTAGGTTTGTCATGCAGAAAGGGGCTGATAACAGTATGTTAGTCATGGTGTTATGAGAGATAAATGAGCTTCATACACATTAAAGGACTTTGAACTGTGCATATACCCCTTAGCTTAAATAAATGTTACATCAGGGGAAGGTTTCCTGTGGCTAGTGAAATCACTCTAAATATTGCAGTCTTACTTTTTGGCATTTTTTCTGCCTTGTTTAAAATACTAAGGAAAGGAATGTTGAATTGGGGATTTTAGAGAGAAAAAAACGATGTGTTTGAAGATTTTAAAAGGTAGTCTAGGGTAGGAAGCTGGTACAGTTTCTGCTGATAATGAGGCTTTCTCATGAGCATCACCTCTTGATCATTCTTAGGCTATCAGTTATGAGCCTAAGAGATCTTAATGCTCTTGTTTTTCCTGTTATTACTGCACATTAACGCTTATTTGCACCTCCATTAGCAGGTGAACAGGGGAAATTAAGAGTGAATGTCCAGTCTAGTCAGTTGACTCCTGGTAACATTTCTAGTGACAGCAGGATTCAGTGAACTTTGGAAGTTAATATTTACATGAAGGATTATTTGTGCATTGCATTTATCTAGAGTGTTTTTCTTAAATTTGGGGATTTTACAGACCAGTAAAATACTCAGAAATATTCTGGAAGGCAGCAGAGTTTTAGTTTGCTAAGAGGAAAGGAAAAATCTTTTCCACCTACCAACGGTATTATTTTTAAAAGGTGTGTTTGTGATTAGGTATACGTTTGTACTGCAAAATGTGTACTTCAAATTATGAAAGGTATTTTTAAATCAAATAAGTTAGCTTTATTTAAAAATTACATTTTCTGAATTTTGGGTTGTTTTCAATACATCATAGACTGGTGAAAACTTTCCTGGATGAGGAGTGATCTTTGTACTAATGTTTGAGAGTGTGCATTTAGACAATCATGTTCTCATTGACTTTATTTAGTATTTTTAGTCAACAATGCTATTCTTAAGAATAATCAAGTTTTTAGATGTACCTAAATAAATAAATCTGTGCAGTAATCATGTGCATTGTTTTGTGAACATAAATCTTTTAAGTACTCAAGATTTATAGTTAGGTTAATTGGAATAAATATTTTGATAAGTGACCATGCTAATGCATGTTTTCCAGAAACTTGAGAGGAACTTTATCATGTAGTAAATGAAGCAATTAATTTTTTGGAAATGGAGTTGATAGAGGAATAAACTACAGAATGCAAGCATTCTTATTTCCTGCAAAAATATGGCTTCCTTTTTATTTTCCAGCCAATCGACTTTGAAACAAATAGGATGTTTGTCCTTACTGTTGCTGCAGAAAATCAAGTGCCATTAGCCAAGGGAATTCAGCACCCACCTCAGTCAACTGCAACCGTGTCTGTTACAGTTATTGACGTAAATGAAAACCCTTATTTTGCTCCCAATCCTAAGATCATTCGACAAGAAGAAGGGCTTCATGCCGGTACCATGTTGACCACATTCACTGCTCAGGACCCAGATCGATATATGCAGCAAAATATTAGGTATGAAATGCTGTTTGCAGTGCTTTTGGAGCTTATGTTCTAATTCACTATTCACTATCACTATTCACTATTCACTATCTAATTCACTATTTGAGTAAGAAATTTTCATTGGAATCAAAACTACATACTAAAAGATAATTTAAAATTCTTTGAATTTTCTTCTCAGTCAATGACTATATTAGATATAGATATCTGTATCCATATTAAAATGGCTTTATTATTTGAAGAAAAAGCTGTTCTTGCTTCTCTGTATCTGCCATTTTTACTTTAAAAATACTTTAGAATTATTTAGCCTGTGCCTTTATGCCAAACATCACAAAAAGGTTCCACAGGGAACTTTCAGAAGCTTATAACATTTATCTCTCCTCCATGCATCATGAAGGAAAGAAAGCTTATGCCAAAACCAGTATCTAAGAGCTAAGTATTTTCATCCCTTACCTGTACAGTAGTTATTGGACTTGTAAAACCTATCTGTAAAGATTTCCAAACTCAGCAAAATCTAATTTATCCTTCCTGATGAGGGAGTGGATGGTTGGCAGAGCACACCCCGTGCGACTGTTCTCCAAAGCTGGTGATGATCATTTTTAAAATGAACTTATATTTCATTAAACTTCTTACAGAACTGCTGCTAAAAGATAACTTCATATTGTTATCTTTTATTGAATGTTAAATGTTCTCCATTTCTCTATTCACTGAAATCAAGATAGCTATTAATAAATAGCCAGTTAATAGAGGTATTGAAATCCTACAACTTTTGCCTCTCCAAACATAGCATACCTTTTCCAATCCGATTGGTTATCTAATCTTTAAAAGTTAATCCCCACTCTAAATTGTATAAAGGAATTTAAGCTGATAAATCTGCCAATGTAGACTCAAGACTATAGGCCTTTCTTTGCAAAGGTATAGATCTGAGGCTCGGCCCAGTGTGAAAGATGCAAGTAGGAATGGGATTATGGTGGTCTTTTCAGTGTGGCTTCATGTTGGCCATGATAAAGTGTTAAAATGTTTTAGGCGTATTCTGTGATACAGTATTCAATTTCTATTGTAATTTCTCTTAACTCCTATACATTGAGACTACTGCTTATCTAGAAACTATATTCAAGCTATTTTCCTGCACCATTGATATCTCTTGAAGTGGACAAGAACCTAAAATGATATCTTTCCAGTCTGCTTTAGCCCACATTAGAGAGACTGTGCTCCTAGTCTTGTCCCTCAGACACCTGTAGAATGTTCCCTACATGCCTGACCAAACAACCTTTATGTGCCTCCCAATACCACTGTCACAAAAATACTTTTTCATGTTAAAGCTGTATTTCCAGCCATCATCTACAGAAATGCAAGTTAATGAGCCAGTTGCATTTGGAACTAAACCTGTAAAATACGCTTTTTTAAAGTTTCATATAAAAAAATTAAACTTCACTTTCGTTTTGTAGATACACTAAATTATCTGATCCTGCCAATTGGCTAAAAATAGATCCTGTGAATGGACAAATAACTACAATTGCTGTTTTGGACCGAGAATCACCAAATGTGAAAAACAATATATATAATGCTACTTTCCTTGCTTCTGACAATGGTATGTTCCCTGTTTTTTCTTGTATGTTGATGAAAGACAGTAGATCCTCGTCATGCATGCTCAGGAATTAAAATTTTCTACAAAACTCAATTGCCTGGAAAACTGACTTTTATAACTCCGAGGTCCAGCTTTTATTTATCATTTCAGACAGGTGTTCTGGTACATCCTTCAGTCTTTGCAATGACTGTTCTCGATGTTCATCCACCATTCATGGAGACATACCTTTGTTATCGTATTGTGCTGTCACACGTTGATGCCCTAAGTCCATCCTCCGTGCCCCTAGACACTGGGTTTTTTGAGTGGCTCTTTGTATATGTCTTCTAGTCACTCTGTTTGCTGCCATTCATACATGCATCTCTATCAGTCTTGCTTTTTATAATTCTCTGCCTCTGTCTGCCATGGGCTAGGAAACTTAATTTTGTGCATAAATTGAGATAAGTGAGTAGTGAGCTTCAGGGTGTGGGTTTTGGAATATATACGTAGCACCTTCTTTTTTTCCTGAGTCTCTGCTGGTTTTTAATTGGTTAAGATTTACAGATAAAGACTTTTTTCAGATATGTAATACAAAGGGAACTTACGTAGACATGATGAGGGGCTTATTTTGCTTTGTTAGCTCTCAGTATGATGTGTGCTTCAGACTTCAAGCTCTGGAGTTCTACAGGACCCCCAGGCGCAGACTCCAGCTTTCCCACTTTGAATCTGTGGGATTGGCATGAGGTTTTACATACATTTGTTTCCTTTTTTTGTTAAATAGAGATAGGTATCAGCACCTAACTCAGTGTTTTAACTAAAATATAATGACTTCTACATATATATGAAGCATTTGAAACAGTGGCTGACACAAACTAACCACTCAAATAAGTATTCCTATTGTGTATTAATAGTTTCAAAACTGAACCACAACTATATTTTAAAATATTTTCAGTATTAAACTATGAATATGACTGTTGGTATTTAATAATAAAAAAAAAAAGCAGGCTTCAATTTGGTGGTTGAAGTTGGTGTTTGCAATTTTCAAATTGTAAAATATTTTGCATTGCTAAAATATTACATACCAATACTTTAAGAATAATGTCAATGAACCTTTCTAAATCTGTATACTAAGATTTAATGAGGTTACTATTTGTAGAAAATCTATGTAATGACCAACCAAAGAAATATTTCTTATCCTTTTTAATATGAGACCTCTTGTTTAAATATTTAGTGTTGGAACTTTGTAGGAATAGCTTTTACCATTGTACATCAAAGCATATCATTAGTACCTGTTTTATGCTTTTTTGCCATAAACAGTGGCTTGCTTTCTACAGTGGAACTGAAAGTAATGCATCTTGAATCACTAGGTTAAGATCTAAAGAGCCATACAGTTATATGTATGTATGTATGTATGTATATTGGTTGTGAGTTACGACCAGATTTCTCATTCACCAATAAGGATTGTTTTCTAATTGAAAGGCTTTTGATAAGAGAGAGAAGTGACCTGTTAAATGTATGTAGCTGTGATGTTTTGCAAGTGCACTTTATTTTTAGTCACGAGGCTAGATTTGGAGCCCCAGCTCTGTTCCTTAATGATTAAGCAAGCTCTTATACTCTTTATGCCTTAGTTTCATTATTGATAAATTGTTTCACTACCTACATATTCTATATAGTTGTTATAAAAGTATAGTAATATTAAATGTGATAGTAAATTTCAGAGTCTCCCAAACTATTGAGTATCATAGTGGTCATGGTGGTATTAGAATATTGTAACAGCCACTATACGCTTCCAGTTCAACTCTCCCTGATCTTAGAACCATCATATTCCTCATAGAAATTGGTAAACATTCCTCCTTATTCCCTCCCCAGGATTGTGTATGTATGTGCACCTTCCTAGTTGCATGACCCTTGGCAGGTCGCTTAAATCTCTGATCTTCAGTGTACAGCATTATTTATAAAATATTCATAAACATATATATGTGTGTGTGAATATTTATAGTATAGCAGAAGCAAATCAAATCACTAGACTAAATTATCACACAAAGTGGTGGAGACAGCATTTTATTATCGTGGAATGAGAATGGGTTTGAGGTCAGGCCGACCCATCTTTAGTAACAACTCCACCACTTACAAGAGTGTGTGGCCATGAGCAGTTTACAGACTCAGGTTCATCTGTTTAAACCTGTGTCATACGATTACAATGAAAGAATGTACATAGAGCAGCCTAATATGATCTCAAGCAGGTAGTTGGTTAGTAAATATCATTTCTCTTCTGCATGATATTCCTTCCTGAGTTGAGGTCTGTGGTTCTGTATCACTTGTCTGTAGACTGTTTCAAGAAGTCAAAGCTGTGTTAGATCATTAAAAGCATTCTTATGTTCTTTCATGCATATGTATTGGTTCTCCATAAAAAGAGTAGGGTCCACAGGATCACGAGCCCTGTGTTTGCATCTCCAACATTCCTCACAGTGCCTGGAGGAGCATGGTCTGTGCAAGCCCTGAATAATGGGCAGGAGGGGCAAGGAAGGTCTGGGATTCCATAGCAGAGGCATTCTTCGTCACCTTGCTCAGCTCCTGCAGAGCAGCAGTGGCAGCTCTGGGTCATTCTTTCTGGCAAGCAGGAAGGGGCTTTGTTCTGGAAACGGTCTGCCCAGATGCCATAGCAACTAAATTTTTCCAAGGTTACACAGTTATAAGGGCCAGAAGGTTAGAAGCTTTGAGAATTTCACCATAATTGAGGCCCATTGGAGAGAACTGTTCAGCATCGTTTGTGATTTTTCTCTTTTCAGGAATTCCTCCTATGAGTGGAACAGGAACGCTGCAGATCTATTTACTTGATATTAATGACAATGCCCCTCAAGTGTTACCTCAAGAGGCAGAGACTTGCGAAACTCCAGACCCCAATTCAATTAATATTACAGCACTTGATTACGACATTGATCCAAATGCTGGACCATTTGCTTTTGATCTTCCTTTATCTCCAGTGACTATTAAGAGAAATTGGACCATCACTCGGCTTAATGGTAAGAACAGGTTAATTATTTGAATATATGTGCAGTTGAGAGATTTGGAAGCCTGGCATGAAAAGTTAATTTTTATGTGCTTCGTAATCTTCTCATTATACATATTTTAAAAGCTACTTAAAGTTTAAGTAAGATATTAAAGGCCTTTACAGCCAAAAAAGTATTCAGAATGCAGCATAGTTGTAATCCACTTTATGTGTACCGTTAGGTAGAAAATACATTCTGAACAATGCTATGTGTTTTTTTTACCACTTTAAGTATTACCTATCAAACTATGTTTTTCCTTTTTCATATAGGTGATTTTGCTCAGCTTAATTTAAAGATAAAATTTCTTGAAGCTGGTATCTATGAAGTTCCCATCATAATCACAGATTCGGGTAATCCTCCCAAATCAAATATTTCCATCCTGCGCGTGAAGGTTTGCCAGTGTGACTCCAACGGGGACTGCACAGATGTGGACAGGATTGTGGGTGCAGGGCTTGGCACTGGTGCCATCATTGCCATCCTGCTCTGCATCATCATCCTGCTTAGTGAGTACTTTTATTGTCTTTTAGATTTCAGTTCTTTTGGCTTCCAGGATGTTCAGCAAAGTCATTCGTTGCTATTGCCTGGCAAAGTAGTCTAACAACCCTTTGACCTTTCAGCATTTCCTCGCCAATCATATATGGGTCGGCCAAGTCCACTTTAGAATGAAAAAACCCCAGAGCTTTGTTTCAAGCACTTGAGGTTTGCAACAAGCCTCCTCAGCATGCCTCTTCCGTGCCTTCTTACCCTTTCTCATGCTGATTGCTTAGGGAGCTGTAGTAAACGCTTTTCATAGAAAAAACGTTAAACAATCCCAAGTTTGAGCACGTTTCTTATGATTTGAGTATGAATTTATGGCACGTAGTTGTTGATTTAGGAAAATAAGTATATCGCTTTCCTTCACCTTCCTTCGTATAAAGCACAGTCAGCATCATGCTCCAGTCATGTGAGGATCAAGGTATTTGTTTCTGAAGGGCTGTGTAAAAGAGTGAGAGACTGCACTTCACATACAGCACGTTTGATAATAGAAATGATTACACAGCTCACTAAATTGTCTGTCTTTAGAGTAAGTGTAGATTAAGGAATTGCTTCTTTTGAAGGTACTTTACAATCTTTGGTTCAATGGAATGCAAAAAATTAACCACTGGAAAGTACTTTAGGAACCACTTCTAAGCATGCAGGTTAAAAGAATAAATTGCCTGGGCCCTGTGTTTTATTGTGAAATAGCAGCAGGACTTAGTTTATTGTGTGATCATGCTATACACCAATCACTTTCTTGAAAATGTTGGCCATTTCTTTTATGTTTTCTCCATTTACAAGTGTTCTGGTAATTTAGAATTCTATCCCTTTATTCTAAGCAATTACTATAGAAGTCTAAGCATTTTTTACTTCCTGTGTGGAGACTACTTTGGCTATAATTTGAAACCTGCATGCTATACTAATAATCCACTTGCTAGATTTAGCCCTGGAACAATAGCAAATGAGATCATGTTATCTGGCTTTAAAAGGAGGATATTTACTTTTATGGCCAATAATAAAAATGTGCTCCAATAGGAGTCATTAAATCTTTTGCTTCAGGATATAAACTGATACCCCCAGATTTTAGACAGAATTTGTTCCTAGATGTGCACTCAGGGATATGTTTCCGTTTCAACTGAAGTGTGCCATAGTTGCCAATCTTATCAAGAAAGACTTAGGTATGATGGATTATGGCAATGAAGAAGTAACTGACATTTTGAAGGAAACTGAATTGGTGCTGATTTTAACATCAACTTACTGGAAAATTTATGGTTCTAGACCTGGCACAAAATATAAAACATGAAAGTCTAATGTTTTTTCAGTGTTCAAATGAATCCCCTAGCTTTCTTAGCTGAAACATGCACCAGCCTCTGGGAGTCAAACCTCAAGGTCCAATTCCTGACTTAGTTCCAATTTACTACCTAGGTCATCTGGGCAAACTTTGTCCTCCTGGAGAAGTGTTGTTTTCTGTGAATTTCAGAGTGTGGTGATGACTGACCAACCTAAATAACACAGCAAGTAACAACTTACTGCTGTTTTGTGTCTCTAGAATTTACGAGGCCCTATTAAGGACAACTATCCTTTAGCAAGCCAAAGGGAAGATAGAAAAAGTTACCATCCCCATATGTGGATGGTAAAACTGAGAACAAGGATGATCACCTCTCAAATGAGTTTGCAGGGCACCAAGGATGGGAGCCCAGGCCTTCATACTCTAAACCCAGTTCTTCAGCCTGCTTTGTCTTGTCTCTCTTAATGTGAGGTCAGAAATATATAGTAGAGTGAAAGATGCATTACAAGCCTTCAGCCTATATAAGTATAAATTATTAGTACTGAATACTGTGACTAGATAAGCCAGGCTTTAAAAATGACAATATTACATATTTTTACTATTTTCCTACCTAGTCCTTGTGCTGATGTTTGTGGTATGGATGAAACGCCGGGATAAAGAACGCCAGGCCAAACAACTTTTAATTGATCCAGAAGATGATGTAAGAGATAATATTTTAAAATATGATGAAGAAGGTGGAGGAGAAGAAGACCAGGTGAGCAGTGCTTTAAATCTTTGAAAAGAAATTTTATGATCATATAAGTTTAGTAATGGGAAGTGTTAGTACATCAGTAAGAAAATTGTATCAGGTTTTCCTCCTGTTATCAGTCATTTGGTGAATTATTTCCTGTGTGTGTTGAATATTTCTCAATTTTTTTTTCGAAGTACCAAATGTCATTGTGTTTATTTTGAAAAAAAGAAAAAATCATTAGCATTGTTTCAAAGACTTTAAACCCAATTCTAGTTATATCTGTGTAATGATAAATATACTGTTCTTTACAGTTTCTCTTCACTGCATATCCAAAATATATTAAAAGCATCTTCTGCTTTGGGATCTAGATAATTATATGTATGGTAGAAAACTAAGACTGTTTATTCCACAAGTATTTACCAGGGAAATCCAGTATTTCAGGTACTGTTTTAATCCCTGAAGATACCTCCATGGGCAGAGTTAACAAATATCTACCCTTAAGAGTCGTACATTCTTGAGAAGTATTTGAAGTTAGAGTGAACATCTAGTTCATCTTTGTATTTATAGTGTGTGTCATAGTTCCTGGCTCGAAGTGGTTGTTCAATAGATGTCAGAATCCCCTTCTGGCCATTAAATAATGTGAGCCTATATCACTATGTGCATATGGGACTGCATACCTCTTCAAGGATGAGAATGACCATAAATGGAAAACAAAGATCTCCACTGTTCTGAAGCAAACGTTTTCAGTGTTATCATAGCAAACATCTATAAGCTCTGTACTACATTCCAGGCATTCTGTTAAGTACATTAGGTGCTGCTCTCTCTTAAATCCTTGAAACTTTGATATTAGTACTGTGAACATCTCCACTTTTGTGGTATAAACCCAAGTTTAAGGATGGTTAGATTCTACAAAATCATGCACTTAGGAAGTAATAGATGCAGAGTTTGCATGCAAGTTTCTCTGAATTCACAGCCTAAACTAACTATTCAGATACAGTTTCTCTTGAAATTATATGGGCAGTATTAATGTAATCCATGAGAAATCACTATGACAGGTAATTCTTAGATACATTTGATAGTCATCTAATTTCTACTGGCTAATGCAAATGTGAGGGATAATAGTCTGAAAGAGAACCTAGGATTCTTTGGTTTTGCATCAGTATCAATAAGTTAAAATGTACTCTCTTAAGTATATGTGCAGATATTATTGATAAGGCTATTAATTGAATAAAAGCAAATTTTCGTGAACATATTTTTCCCTTGTTTCACTCCTTTGAGGAAATGATACATCACTTTTCATTTTACAGAGCACATTTACATCCATTATTATTTAATATTTGTGGCAGCCCCTTAGAGTTTTCCATTTTACATTTGAAGAAAGTTGCATGATTTACTTTCAGAGTTTGTAACCCCACAGAGCCAGGACTCAAGGCGTCATATTCTGATTCCAGGTTCCATGCTTGGTTTACAGTACCCCAGCTCTCTCATTTAGAAGAGATGCATATTTAAAGTATGTTGAAAACTTGACTCATGTGTAAAGCCGTTTTGAATACTGACTAATTAAAGTGGCTCTATAAATATACCTTAGGGTGTTTTGCTTATAAATGTCTTTGAATATTAAAATTCATGTTTGGCTTAATTATTTAATTAATCTATTCTTTCACTTTCCTAGGCTGTTTTCAAGATCAGCAAACATATATTGATCACATTCTCTCATAAATCATCTACTTCCAGTATTTTATTTCTTATGTAATTGTGCATACTTTACAAAGGCATAAACCTAAAACCTGGCTCAGTTAGGCTTCAGTAAAAGTAGTAATAACTGTAAGACCACCTGTAGTAACTGTATGCTGCCCAAAATTGGAGGCTCAGAGGCAAGAACCAAGAAAATTCTCATATAGGGACTGGAACGTGGGATATTTAATTTCACCTGATCTGAATCTTTCTCTCCTTTCCCCACCAGTCCCTTCGATAAATTGTTTAATATGACTTTATTGTTATAGTTATATTAGGAAAGACTTTTTTTATTTATTGACTTTATCCACTTAGATTGATGCTTGAGATTAAGTGGTGAAACTCACCTATTATAAGATTTGTTAAAATAATTATCATAAATCTTCAGCTTCCTCTTTACCTAATCTCTGAAGCTCGTTGGGTTTTGGGGATTTTTTTTGACCCCAGCCAAACTCTTGGACATGAATGTGTTGCTTCATACCTACTTCCCCACGAGTCCAAAGATTTTTCTGGAATTTTATCTGTATTGTACTCTGGGGCTAATTTTTAAATTTGGTACCAACCTTCCTGTGGCGTCTTTTTGTCTGGGTTCTTGATAGGATATTAGTCTAGATCAAGAGCTTCCACTCATCTCTGATCCTCTGTTGTGATTTCTGCATGCAGTTCTCATTCTAGACAATTGTGACAAAATTATATAATGGGATTTTTATGCATCTGATTTTTAACCTCATAACACAATAAAATATGTGATGTAGGGGTGCCACACCAAGGCTCTTTCTCCTCTATCTCTAAACCATTCATGAAATCCCTTCACTTATCTTCATTTCCAAGGCCTCTACCTTCACTTACCTCTATCCTACAACAGATTCCTAAATGGTGTCTTGTCTGTGCTTTAACATTCCAGTCCACCCTTTGGAACTTCTTCCTTAGCATGACAGCTCTTCAGCGCTGCACCCAACCTTTGGTTTACCCCCTAGTAGACTAGATAAAAACCCATGAGAAAGAGTCATTGGTGGGTGCAGACTCCCTCAGGATGTGAATTCATCAAGCCTGTTGACTCACGGTGACTTCAGCTTCCTTCAAAGTTTGGGTGATTTATCCGTATGTTTTTTAAAGGCAGAGTTCTGTCTTCCTCTCACTCTTCCTTCAGGGATAAAGGCAGCTGTGGGTCTTCTCCTAGAAAGGACTTGTCTGATTCTATATTTTCATTCAGTTAGGCTTTATTTTGTTCTCTGCTATCTTATGGTTTCAAAAAGCTTTGGTTGGGAAGTTAGCTGATTTGTTCTTGGCATTAGAGTTTGAATAATTGTCTCGTGACTTTATCACAACCAGAAGCAGATGCTTTCTATAGGGTTAAGAGTGTAACTACGACTCACACCAGCAAAGAACATTTCCAGCACCCTAGAAGCTTCCCTTGGACCCACAAACAGGTGGTTTGCTCTCTGTCCAAAGTAACCACTCTTTTTTATTTCTGTCACCATAGATTAGCATTCCCTGGTTTTGACTTTTATGTAGATAGATATCAAACAGTGGGCACTCTATGCATCTGGCTTCTATTACTCAACATTATACCTGTGAGATTTGTGTGTAGAAGGAGTTCATTTTTGTCACTGCTGAATAGTATTCTGTTGTAAGAATTAACTACATTTTATGTATCCATCCTACTTCACTTAGGCACTTGAGGTTTTCCAATTGGGTTATTATGAATAAAACTGTTATGAACATTTGCGTGCATATGTTCTGGTGCATTTTCTGGTGAGTGCACAGGAGTTGAATGGCTGGGCCACGGAGTGTGCATATGTGCAGCTCGACTACAGTCCTGTACGTTTTCCAAAGTGATCGTACAATTGACACCTCCCTTCCCCACTGTGGTACATGGAAGTTCCAATTGCTGCACATCCTCTTTCTCACTTAGCCCTTGGATTTTTTTCAGTCTTTTGAAATTTAGGCCACATTGATGATGTATGTCTCTTCATTTAATTGGGATATTCCTACCTATGGTTTTACCCTTTTGATATTTTATTTCATGAAGTTTGTTGAGCCTGTTTGTCTACTTTTCTGTTGGGTCGTCTGTCTTTTTCTTACTGACTTGTAGGAGGTTCTTACAGATTATAGATATGTGTTCCTTGTCAGATAAATATATTGTAAATATCTTCTCTCATTCTGTAGCTTTTTAATTCTCTTAATGGGTCTTTAGGTGAACAGAAGGTTTTTTTATTATTTTTTATGTTGTCCAGTTTATCACTTTTTTCCCATTATGGTTAGTGCTCATGTTTCTATTTAAAAACTTTGAGTAGGGCACAGTGGTTCATACCTATAATCTCAGGACTTTGGGAGGCTAACACAGGAGGATCACTTAGGCCTACGAGTTCAAGACCAGCCTGGGCAACATAGTAAGACCACATCTCTTTAAAAAAAAAAAAAAAAAAAATTGTTAATTAGCCAGGCATGGTAGCTCATACCTGTAGGCCCAGCTACTTGGGAGACTGAGGTAGGAGGACTGCCTGAACCTGGGAGGTCGAGGCTACAGTGAGCTGTGATTATGCCATTGAACTCCAGAGCCTGGGCCACAGAGAGAGACCCTGACTCAGAAAAATAATAATGAGAAAATAAAACTTCTACCCCAAGGTAATGAATCCTCCCCAACTATATATATTATTTTCTTGAAGCTACATTGTTTTACCTATCATATTAAGTCCATAATTTATCTGTAATTGATTTTTCATTTGGTTAAGACATGGGTCAGGACTTCTTCATTGTCTTTATGAATATCCAGCACCCTTTGGTAAAAAGATGCACTGCAGTGCTACATTGCCATAAAGCAGGTGCTGTGTGTGTGCAGCTTTGTGGGTTAGCTTCCTGCTGTTCTCTGCGGTACTACCTGTTCTGTCTATTCTTGAGTCAATCCCATGTTGTTTTAATTACTGTAGCTTTCTAGGGTCTTGAAACCAATAGGGTAAGTTTTCTGACTATATTCTGCAAGGTTTGTTTGTTTGTTTTTAGATTTTTGGTGGATTCTGTTTTACTTTTTCCTTAAGAAAAATAAACCATTTACTTATCTTATTTCTTAAGTGTATTTAGTGCAAGTACTCCACTTTCTAAATAGATGTTATTACTTTAAATCTTAAAATCATGGTCAGTTCCTGAGAAGTTCAGCAGTATGAAATATACTGTGTTCTATTTTCCATAATTTACATGTGGCTCCCTGTTAGAAATTCTGTTTCTTTGTAGTGTGAAGTAAGAATTTTTGGCAATCGAATCTAATTCATAATTTTTATTTTTTGGAGATA